GCGAAGACGTCGTTATCGTCGTCAGCGACGCACATATACTTTCGAGGAGGCGCTCAGAAGAACCCCCCGAGCGGTACACAGTCGATCAGGGGGTGAGAGCCAACGTCGCGTCGCTTCATAACGGCTTTTCAGTCGAGGAGAGAAAGTGACGACGGGGAGATATGTGGGCGGTGGGTCCCGGGCGGCGGTGCGGCGCTAGCCGGGAACTGAAAAGCGACACGGGATCTTGAAACCCAAGGCGGAGATGAGCTCCTCCCGCCTTGCGGACGGAGGTGGGTGGCGGTCCGTCCTGCCGTTTCCCATAACGAGCGCGACTCGGCATCCGACTCAGAGGTCATAGCCACGAAGCCGCGCCGCCCCTCGCGCCCCCGGTTCCGAAGCGTGCGAACGGCCAGCGGTCTCGTCGATGTCTCTGGCATCACTCCCATCCATTCGCATGAGGACCTATCCTGCCGTGCTAAGGAAAAACGCCGTAAGAGCCATCAGGCGTTGCCAGATTCCCCGCAATAAAAACCGAATGTGCTAGAAATTTTTTGAATGTTCTGCTTAGAAATTGTCTGACGATTTTGTTCGCAGTCTAATCTAAAATACTTGAAAATTTCAAGGAAAAATATCCATGGAACTTTCCTGAACAATACTTGATTAATCTGGGGAAATTTGGCAACTATCGAATGTTCATATGGCGTTTTTCCTTGGCACGGCAGTATCGTCCATCCATGCTACCGCCTTGAGGAAAAACGCCGTAAAAACAAACCTATCTTGCCAAATTCAACCCCCGAGAACATTCCTCACAAAAAATTTTTCCTCGAAATCATCAGATACCTCAGTTTGAATAGAGCCCTCGCATGCCTCGGTAATATGACATTTAAGTACTTGTTTTTTGTGAAAAATTTTGCGGGAGTTACAATACCACTACTGGTTTTCTCTGAAACAAACTCCAAAGCTCCTATAAAGCTACTAAAGTTGAGGCCATAGTGACAGGAACCGCCTACGTTATAGTAAGAGTCCAATTTTACACTCGGTCAAACTCTCCATTTGCAGATAGGGAGCGAATACCTCAGCAGGGTTGACGTGGTTTAAGACTTGGAGTTTCCAATCACAGTGGCAACTACGCCAACGTATGTGCTCCCTGTTTTTCTCCCGGAGAGTTTGAGTCTGTAAAGATGTAAAGGTGGACTCTGACCATTACGTAGACGATCTCCTCCATTACGACCTCAACTTTGAGAGCTTTTTCTCAGCTTGGAAGTCAGGGCCGTATGGCATGAATTTTCAGCACCTGGGGCAAGTATGTTGTAGCGCCCCCATGAGGAGGGTCTGGTGAGGACCCGCCAAAAAGGAGGAAGGGGTCTGGGAGCGGTCCCCTCCCACGAACATTTAAGAATTTCAATGAATCTGAAATCTGCGCAAATTCAAAGTTTAAAGGCCTTTGAAAACCGCAACCGTGGTATTGGTAGGTGGATTTTTGGCTGTGCACCCTCCCCCCCCCACCCCACTTGTGTGAATTTACGCGCTAGCTAATAGACTGCTTTGCAGTGGCACCTTGATTTGTTCAAAATTTGTTAACTTGCTCACGCAATATGAAAATAGAGAAAGGAAAAAGGACACGCAATGATGACGACGCAGAGATACAACTATTCGTGCTTGATGGATGTCCGCGTTGCATCTGCAAAATTGAAGGCGCGATAGTGTGAGGCGTGAACTGGCAAAGCTCCGCTCTTTGCTACTGATGAGATGTCGCTCGGATTTGGTAGAAAAGTTAAACAACGGGGCTCAAATACAGCTCTTCTAACTATGACTGTGCTGCTCACGTGGCCCTTGAAGCATCACTGCCAATAAGACGGACGAAATCAAACACAAAATGGAAATAGGGGAAGGGAAAAGATGCGCGTTGATGAGGGCGCGGCGCAGAGATACAACTATTCGTGCTTAATGGATGTCCACGTTGCATCTGCGAAATTGAAGGCGTGACGATGCGAGGCGTAAACTCGCAAGTCGCAATGCTCCGTCCCGGCTCTAAACTGCCAATTGGATGTCGCTCAGATTCGGGGTTATAGTTAAAAGACGAATCCCGATTACGTCCCTCCTATTTTCGGTTGTTTTGACACTCGATTTTCTCCTTTTTTCAATTTGATGTCTGCTTCTTTTTTTAGAATGTATTCGTAGACCTTTATCTAAAGCTCGTATAAAGCGATCCCATACAACCCTCGCCCATAAACTTACGCCCAGGAGCCCATTGATTTCCTTTCAGAAGTGTTATCACACAATGTTCTGGAAATATTTTTAGTGTTTATTTTTTGTCACTACTCTCTATTTCTTAATGTCGAGTTGAATATTTGTGCATGCTCTTCCGTTCGAGAGCGGGCAGGAGCGATGACGTCACCCAGCAATGCCGTTACATCCATAGGTTCCGTGAGAGAGGAAGAGTTCGGACCATTATACTACTGTACTAAGTGAGAACATCGTATGAGCCATCATGCCTTGTCAAATTTCCTTCGACAAATGACAATTCTCAGCAGAGTTTGTGAATACTTTTCCGATTTTTCAGAGGATTTCCTTGGTAATTTAACTTGAAAAGTCTGCTAATTTCGAGGGAAAATGTACGTAACCGTCTTCCAAAATATTGATTTTCAAAGAAAAAATTTGGCAATCTTCGAGTGCTGATACGGGATTTTCACTCAGCACGGCAGTATAGTAGAAAGCTAACTGCTCACCCAAGGGCTCGCATGTAAATGCACCTAATCTCCCGGTCACGATTTTACCTTTGATCTCTCTTGAGACCTTTATTGAGTGAATTCCTCAAACCCCGAACAGATTTTAAATTCAAAGGAGATAATTTCAGTGCTGGCGGTTGCAAAATAAAAATGCACCAGCTGCGTTTTAGATTATACATATTGTTGTCTCTTTCGAAATTTAATAATATATATAAGTAAGCGCAAGATCATATTATATTCGCAAGACCCGGGCATAGGCCCAATGTTGTCGCCTTTTTATCACTCACCAAGGAAACGTTTTGCTCGCAGCCAGTTTTTGCGGACTGTTGTCATGTTTACGATGATTATGCCACGCATTATCGCTCCGCGCAAAGCTATAAGTTGCATCTGTGAATTCTCAATCGGGCTCACGGTGCTTGGGAGCGTCGCTCTCCACCTCAGGCGGGTGTATTGGAATACTTTGCGGTATGTCCTGCTGAGAGACCTGTACCGGTTTCACTCTTTTTTGAGCTAGTCAGCAAACCACTTTCGGAGTTTTGTCCTGGGATTCATTCAGCAGTGTCGGCAGATGGCGCTAGGATCGCACTTGGGTGCCATGCATCGCATCGGCGTATTCATGACGGCGCAGCGTTGCAATGACGCCCAGGATCTTGCGGGACAGGATACTACAAGCTGAGCTTTCTGACTTATTCTGCCATGCTAAGGAAGAACGCCGTATGAGCCTTCAGATGTTGTCAAGTCTCCTCCGATTAAAACCGAATTTACTGGGAAAATTGCTAATATAATTTCCCAAAAATTTTAGACAACTTTGTACGTAATTTAATCTGAAACATCTGAAAATTCCCAGGAAAAATATGCATAAATGTTGTCAAAAATACATGTTTTATCAAGGGAAATTTGGAACTCTCGAATGTTCTTACGGCGTTCTCTCTTAGCACGACAGTATTAGAGTGGCTTGCTGAAGAGTTGAACACAGGACAAACCTGGGGCAGGTTTCTCAGCAGGGTCCCGGTCCCAGCACTATGGCGTGCTATCCTGGCAAGGCAATCATTGCGTATCTGAACCATTCAGGAGAGAGAAAAATGAGGAACGATATAGTTTTGTTAAATCTTTTCAAAAATTCATTTAAAGTCGTAAGTCTTGTTTTGACTTTTTTAAGCGAATCGATACAATACATTTAACCGATGGAGATAGATGTCATAAACCACGATAACCAACACAGTGATCGCAAAAATCCACAAAAGCGAAAGAAACCCCGCGGAGTGCCGCGAGAAATCGCGACAGTCCAGATTTTCCGTAATTTACATGCACATAGCTCAAGTATACGTTATGATTATTAATTAACCGCGCGAGTCTCCGTCCAAATAGCAATTTTCCCACATGAAATCTAAAAAATCTCGAAAAAACCGTTGAAAAAGGGCCGGCATATAAGGTCAGGTGGTGGGGGTCCGTGGGCAACAAATAAGAAAATCCAGCCCTGATGCTTTGTCATGTGCCTATTTACACCCCCTCTGCTTGCATATATACTTGTGTATGTATATACCTTGTGTATATGTATCTTGCTGTTGCATCTTGATACATCATAACTGGTGTCGAGAAGTATAAGTCACATATTATCTTTTACATTCCCGAATACTTTCTAGCTATGCTTGGTTACCAGCTATGACGTTGTTCATGAAAATTTCTCTCTCAGCACTCAGTTTACAACTTAGAGGAAAGTTCACTCGAGAAAAGTTACAATTACTGTTAGTAACTGTTAGAATGTCGGAGTGAGATTTAATTACCTAGATGCTTTGAATATTTTTATTTTTGGTACGCTTAGTTTTTCTCCATCAGAGACCACGCCGTTGAAACTTTACTTTTGGGCAATCGAAGATTTTGGACGTAGCACTTGTGTGAATGGGCTCTTCCCAGAACTGACTTATTTTTACAGTTGTACCTATCTCGAAGCGATCCTTGGAAAACATCGGACCATTAAAATAAAAAGCTCAAAACATAAATCTTTAGGACTCGAGACTATAATTGACGTTTAATCTCCCAAAGACCGAGATTTGCAGAACTTCGTAGCTCTGTTTATAGCCTTCACATTATTCAGAATTATTACACTTATCTCCCTGCTCTTATCAAAAACAAGCAGCAACGCTGTTTCCAAAATACCTACCGATTTTTTTCGTGTTCCCTAGGCGTTACCATCAGCCATCCTTACTTCTCGTCAATTATTTCTTCTTCTCCTCCTCCTCCGGCCGCTCATTCGTTTACTTATCGTTTTTATGTTAATTTATGTTTCAGAGACGTGTTAGAAGTTTCAAAGCCTGATGGTTGACAGGTGTTTTCAGAATGCGAGAAGAAGATCTGGAGATCGCCCTCAAGGTTAGTTTTACAGATTTATCTTCATCACTAACAATAAATCATCCTTATCTTTTCCACAGATTTAATTTAATTTTGCGTAAAGCAAGAAATTAAACCCTTTGAATCGTGAAATTTTGATGTGGATATACGTATTGTCGCAATTTAATATTTACCCTCTCTCGGAGTCTATCGCGGAATTAGAGTATCTAGCACAGTGCAGCTTAGGAACTTGATACACATAGACGACCTTCAAAGTAGTTTCCGCTACAACTACAAACCGGATTCCCTCGGTGTGTACAACACTTACTGTTATTGGACAGTCTCCTTTTAAAGGGGAAAAAAGAGGGCCAAACTACGCCCCACATAATTCGCTGAGTTCTGTCACGTCTGTTGAAACGGTTGAAAAAAAGAAGAATGAATCGGGATGTCTCGCAAGCCAGATATAGGTACGGACAGCTGAACCGGTTTGCCAACCCATTGATTCATCCGCACTTTTCCTTTACGGTGCCATACAGCCTCGTGGACTTTCCAATGACCTGAAGCTTTTTTACTATTTTGAGCGCTCGTGTCGCGTGGATACCATTAATATCAAATCCGCTTTGACACCGATCGGCATATTCTCGGTAGTCCAGAAACAGGATACTCACAATCAGATATCCCGCCTTGATCATCGACTATCCGATGAACGTTACGATATGAAGAGATATTTATATATTGTCAGACAACTTGACTTTACCTCACTGTTGGTCTACCTTCAGTTTTTAGTGTAGGCAACACAAGCTCCCACGCGGTCGAATAGTGGTAGCACTCTCACTTTCAGACGTCACAGTTGCTCAGATGCAAGAGACCCACCAATCCCACCATTGGCCTCTTGGCGACAGGTGGAAACTTTTACTTTCAGGGATTCAACACTTCCTTACGGACAATTCTAAGGGAGCAACAGTGATCACTCCTTTTTTGGCTGTATACCTACGTGGTGGATAATGAGCTTCGAGTGACGCCATGAGCCGAACAAATTCCCCTAACTTCTGTTTGTTTGCAAAACGAAACTGCCAACTTCTTTTTAACCATCAGCCAAGTAAGTAGGTCAACAGTTGAATGTTGAATTCCCGAAAGTAAAGGTTTTTACATTGCCATGATACTAATGGAGGCTCTCTTATCTCTGCAATTGCTGGAGGAAGAAAGTAGGAATAATTCACGGAGCGAGGACTTATCCTCGTATTTTTAATTTCTCTCGAGATATATCGCAACATTTTATTTTGAAATCGCTGCATATTATACCGGATGTATGTATCGAGATATTCGCATGATTAAGTAAGAATAACATAGATGAATAATTAATACATTTTAACAAATAATGAAAATGAATACACAATTTTTTTTTTTTTCGTAAACAGGGCCAGGCCCCTTTTTCTCTCGGTTTGGCATGGGCTTTTTGTGCATGCGATGAGTTTCAATCCGTTGAGTTTCACAGAAATTCCATCTCTTTTGTTTGTCATTCTACTATCCTCTATTTTTTCAAGGAGAGGAGTATCAATAGAGGCCATATTTAGGCCCACCGTAGCTAATGCCCTTAAACTTTACGATTTTTTGCTCATTGAATATAAATTTTTACGGAATGCTACGGGATCCGGTCAGAATACGGTCATTGTTGGTCTCGTTTTAGGTCTAATACCGCAACTTATTCAAGAGTCTGAGGCCTATTCTACTGGAACATGCAGATTTCTCGGCATTGGACCGCAAACCTGCAAAAACCGCATTTTACGCCAATAACGGTCTTCAGACCCATGTTGAAGGTCAGTATTAGACCTGAAAAGAGATCCAAATGACCAAATTACCATCCACCCCGTAAATAATAGACCTTAAATGTGCAAACAATTTCAAAGCCAAGGAAATTGAAGGTGGGCCCAAAAACGGCTCTTATCGATGCCCCTCGATTATCATCTAGGCCCAGGGGCCCGCAGACTCTGAAGCCCGGGTGGCAATTGCTACCCCACCATCTGGGCCCGTTCGACCCTGTATGAGAGAAATGTTTCTCCGTTAGACGCAAAAAATCGTGAGTATTGGCTGGAGTCGGAAATGGACTGGGGCACATGGCACATGGGGTGCAATTACGTTGGCTTAGGCGACCAACTACTCACCGGCTCGTCATGAGGTTGCCGCTGCTACCATTGCTTATTGTAACGGAAGTCGGTGAAAAACCGCTTATAAACTTAGGGTTTCCATTAGAGTTGGATGATTGTTGGCGGTGGCGGTGGCGGCGCCGCGCGCCGGGTGCTGCGGATCGTGAGATGCTCGATGCCTCGACTGTCGGCCGCGGGCGTCTCATGGCATGAGACTGGGGCGGAGGTCGCACAGTGGATCGAGTCAATCAGAGGAGTCGGACACGAAATTTTTGACATCAACTGCGAATTTTTATGTAAATTTCGTCTCATTTTAAATTTTTAGGGGTGCTGTCAGAAGAAAAATTTACGAGAGAACCAATGAAACCACTTTCAGCAAATCAAAGTTTTGTATATACGAAGTTATAAGCGTTTAAAGTTTCCAAATTTTGTCCGACCTCTCCTATTGACTCGATCCACTGTGGGTTGGCAGAAATCGGGATCCAGATACGCCATTCGCGCCCTCCGCTAGCCGCACAGTTTAAAGAGCCGCTCGCAAAGGTTGCACATGAAATATTTGACTAAAACTGGAAATTGGACTTCGTTTTCACGGAAAAAAAAGAATTGCTGATTCAGCAATTCAATTGCTAAAAACAGTGAGTGCAATGTTTCAACGCAGATTTTACAACAAAAAAATGCTACTTTAACCACATTGTAAACTAATTTAACCACGGGGGTGGTTAAAGTAGCATTTTTTTGTTGTAAAATCTGCGTTGAAACATTGCACTCACTGTTTTTAGCAATTGAATCGCTGAATCAGCAATTCCTTTTTTTTCCGTGTTGCGATTAGGAACTAAAATTTCTGGCTCGTCCGTAAAAACACTCGTGTGCTAGAAAAAATAATGGTACATTCGTTGCTTCTAAACTGAACCATAAAATGTAAGTAGTTTAGAATAGCGAAATGTAGTCCAATTTTGATGTTACTTTTGTCATATTATTAATGGCAGTACGTTTTGTAATTGCAAATTGACATTTTCAGGTTAGTGAAGAAACAACGTACCTACTTACATTTTCCGTGCGGACACGTGCTTCTTCTCTTTATTCTTCGTGGCTGAAATAAGCAATGAAATCTTACTTTCGGGTACCAAGTTGGGTTCGAGTGGGTTAAGCAACTAAACTAGCTCTAAGACGAAGCGTAAAGTATCCTTTCAAATTGAAGGCGCCTCGGGCTGGATCAATGTTCAGTTGGTTTTCTGGTTATATTTCTAATGTTATATTCCTGAATTTTACTCTAGGTTTGCAAAATTTGACCTTTTCATGTTGTATCTCAGTGTTTCTCAAATCTTGAGCATCTTCAAGGAAAGGAGTTGTTAAAGGAACACCTATGTGTAAAGGTCAATATACTCTTTGTGTGAGGTCAAGTACTTGAGAGGAAAAAAGGCCAGCATGGAACGCTAAGCGAATCCGTGTCCTGGATCAACGTGACTGATCAATCGACTGATTAATTCTGCCGTGCTAAGGAAGAACACCGTATGAACATTCGAGAGTTGCCACATTTCTCTCGATAAAATGTTCATTTTCGAGATTATTGATGAATATTTTCCCTTGAAATTTTCAGAACTTTTTGGTGAAATTGCAAGAAAAATTAGCTGAAAAATCGGAGGAAAAATATTTACAAGTTTACCAGGAAATTCGTGTTTTATTCATGGAAATTTGGCATCGCCTGAAGATTTATACGGCGTTTTTCCTTAGCACGGCAGAATTGATGAACGTAGGCAGAGAGACACACATGATAAACAGCAAACTTCTCCTCACTCACGCCAATTCCTGCGAGCTTTCGCTTTTGTAAGCGGTGTAATTCTTTCATCGCACGGGAAAACTATATGAGCTTTACAGCTTCGCACGATCCCTCTCGAGTCTCGGCAACCCTGGAGATTGTAAACCAGCGACTTGCACTTCTTCTAGCTATACCTCAGCTTCCGTGCTGAGCAAAATCGACATATCCTCGAGTAATTTCCATTCGAGACAAGCGGTTTCGGTTCTACAGGGCAGTATGCGTTCAGCAACGGTATCTCGAGTTTCTTCTTCAAATTCACGCCTGTTCCTTGTCTAGCACACGATAATGAAACCGCGCAACTGGCATCTGAATCGCCTGTAGATATGTTGTTTTTTGTTCGCACGACAGTATGCTACCGCAAATGCATAAGAATGCGAAGGTTGTAATTTACATTAAACTGCATGAAAGCGCCGATCGCAAGATCAGCCCGTATAATTGCGTGTAGGATGCCCCAAACAAGTATCCAAGAAACTCAGCTAGAGAGCGGTTCAGGAATCGATGCATCTAATGCCCGTAAGCCCTTCCTGCTCATTATGCAGCTTTTTTATTGTTAACATGAGCAACCCAAATCTGAAAGATTCTGTAAGACGATAATTATACGGTGCAAACTCTCTTTCAAAAAGCATTTGGATTGATTGAGATTGGAATCTTGTGGGTTCGGTCCTCTCAAACACACTAACTTGGTCCGCAGCTCAATACCATGATGAATACCGATTTCTAAAAACTCCCCAGAACCCCCCCCCCCCCGGTGTTGGCTTCCTGTCTCTTCCTAGCCATAAGATCAGAATATCGTCAACGTACCCCTAGGGACCTGTCGCAATTAGCAGAGTTTAGATAAAGTACTTACCAATGATGTGACGTGCTTTGCGATTTATAGATTGTTCTGCCATTTAAACCTATGGTTAAGAATCGATTATCAAGGTGTTCGCTGCGAACACCCTGAATATCGATCCTTTTCCATAGATTTAAATGGCATAGCAATCGATATATCGCAATTCACAGCACGCCACTGCTACTTACCTATGTCGGAGATTCCTGGTGAAAATGCGGGTGGATACCGGGAAGGAGTGGCCAGTGCCGAT